TCATTGGCGGACCTACACAAGGTCCTAGTGGGTCACTTGATCCACCAGCTTCAAGTTGGATTTATTTATTATTTTTATTATTTTATTATTTTTTAAGAACCAAAAGTTAGAATTGGACAATAATGATAGTTGGGGTTTTTTTTTTCTTTTTAATTAAAATAGAGTTCAAAAAATGATCGAACAATTGATATAGTGAGAGTTGAAATTATTTTGTCATTTGTGATATTTAATTTGAAAATTCTTTAAAAAAAATTATTCATCATACATGTGAGATTATTTGAAGTTCTTTGAGAATTATTATTTATCATATATATGAGATTTGTGAATCTATGACAGTGATCATGTGTATGCGTTTTTGTAGAATATATAAATTTTTTTGTAACTTTTTAATAAATTTAATTGTGCTCCATTAACTCCAAATATTTGCGTCCGCCACTGATACTAATAAATCTAATGAAACGCTTGGATAAAAAGTTGTAAACAAATTATAAACATTTGCCAAATATATTTGCATTCCTTTCTTTTGTCCACTTCCAAATACTTCGATTTGCCATGATGCTAGTGACATTTGCTCTACGCAGAAAAATGTCTTCTTCCTAGAAAGATGACTTTTGTTGCCGCACTTTTTTTTTGGATTAATCGACAGTTGACTTTAGGTTTATTTGAGCTCGTTTTTTGGAGAAAATTTTTGTAGTAGTAATTTTCTGAAGAATATGTCATTAAAAAGTAGTGTTTTTTTTTTTTTGTGAATTTACGTGTAAAATTATTTTATTGGAAAAATGTATAATTGAAAATGCGTTAGAGAAGAAATGATCCTTTAAAAAATAAGGCTCTAACAGAAGCATAAATTTCTTTTGAACATAGCTGCATTCCATACGAATTATGCTAATAATCTCTCAAGTCTAGGGCAAATAAGAGGTGAAAGTTACTTAGGCCTTGTTTGGAGCTCATTAAAATGAAATTTTAATGAGATTTTGCATTTTACAACACTAGAGTCCTGACTTTAGAAATAATATTTCCCTGTTGCATTTAGAATGAGATAATTATATTAGTACCACAAAATTTACTTACTATACCACATTATAATCCTACTACAATTAAAATATATTTTTTAATAAATACACCACAATAAATTTGCAATTATACTCCCAATCCAATAAAAACTAAAAAAATAAAAAATAAAAAATAAAAATATACAATGTTGTCGCGTACGCATTATCCCAATATACTTCTCTTTTGTACCTTTTGATTTTGACAAGTCCAAGAATTTCATATTCATCAATTACTCCAACCATTCCTTGATTTGGAAAAGATTCGCGTACGACGTACTTCACATTTTCTGAAGAATCCCGAATGAACTTTGCTGTATAGGCTGGCCGCCATTACAAACATACTCAAAACAGTGCACCAGAAGATTCAATTTTAATGGATTTGTATATGCATTAGATCATCAAGGTGGTGTCTTACGCTAATTATGATTTCTTATAGTTTTCCACAGATTGTTGGGATGGAGAAGCAGTTGCAATTAATTTTGTTTCATGACATTGCTATAATTAACAATTTATTCGAGTTTTGCTCTGTTTCTCATTTTGTTCAATACATGATTTTGGCATCAGATTCCTTTCTGATAAATCAAGGCAGTGTGTTGTATGAAAATCAGAAAGCAAATCTACTAAACGCTTTTAACATAGTTTGGGACAAAATTTCGCAAGTGTACTTCATTATACAAATAATAATCATGAAAAAAGAGTTATCGTTCAACAGGGAACAATACTCAATTATAGTGTATTCAATATATTTAAATTTGTGATTGTAACAAAAGACGATTGGTTGGTATTTAACTACGTGTTATAACTAATAAAGTAATAAAAACCGGTTGAAAACTCAAATATGGAAGCACGTATTGGATTTCCGTCACTGATCAACTCTTAGTTTTAATTCTCAACAAGTAATAATTAACTCCATTCATATAATTGTGATGATCGATATTTCCACTTTTATTTACTATTCTTTTCCAAGATATAATAAATATATGACCATCACAAGACGATTCTATTCGTAGTCCGAATTCATATGACAAACGTGCATTGGCGTTTAGGATTATCACAATGATTGTACATGCCATATACACTGTTCTTAATATTTATTGCCCGTGTGTTCCGTAAATGGTGTTTTACTTACCGTGAGTTTTCCAACAATACGAATAAGCAACTTATGCCCCAATCAGAGACGGATATAGGGGGGCTGGGCTGTAGCCCCCCCCCCAGGTCCAAGAGTTTTTTTTTAAGGTATTTATTATTTTTTTTTGGTAAAAAATCAGTTTTTTATGTGTAAAATTTTTTTTTTCCACGTAGTAGTCGGGTTTGAAATTTTGTAGCCCGATCGTGGATCCAATCCTGGATCCGTCCCTAGCCCCAATGGTGTTAAAACAACGTAATTATACATATCTATGAAATCACAACGCAAGAATTAAACTAAAAACACAAAGTTTCGAATTAAAAACTTAGAATCAAAGAATTTTGTTACCCATCCAATCCAAAAAAATTTCGCCAAGCATATTAATGTAAGAATTACAAAGAAAATTAAAGAAAATCATCACTCAAATCATTAAACTACGAAGAAATTTTGAATTCTTCAATTAAAGCCTTCAAATCTGGATCTAAGAATGAATTCTCCGTTCTTTGATATAAGTTTTCTCTATTTTGACCCAAAATACGGCTCTGAATATGATGAAAGATAGGTTTAGGGTCCTCTCCTACGTTCGGAACGTATTATGGTATTTAAAGGATGTCCAAAAGATTATTATTAAAGTAGAGTTTCAATTAAAAAAAGAAACAAAATATCACCTTGAAAAAGTACTATGTGGTCGCATAGTACAAATGGAAGCGGCCGCATAGCAAAAATTATTACTTGTCCCGAGAGCTCTGGAGCCATAGATGCGGTTGCATCTAACTAAACATATGCAATCGCGATGCGACCGCATAGGTATACTTTTTTCCCGTCAGACAGCCTTAAGTATTTTGGTCATATATTTCTCTCTCGATATCCAATTGATGAAATTCAAAGTCTGTTGGAAAGCTAACTCAAAAGGTTACAATATTTTCAAGATATTAAGTTCCAATTCAAAAGTTTGCTATGTCATAAATTGGCCTCAAATTGAGGCTGAAAATTCGAAACATAACTTTTTTGTCTAAAAGTTGATATGTGATAATAATTTGGCTATATTTCATCCATTTGAATTCTTTCCTCATCCGATTGACCCTTAACACTCTCGAATATTCATAGTAAGGTTCGACACAATTTTTAAGTATTTGCACTTTAGTCTCTGAACTTTTGAAATTGCTTCATTTTAGCCATATTCTCTTATAATCTTATTCCTTTATCTTTCAATTGTATCCACTTAAATCATTGACATCTTCAACCTTCATTTCGTCACCAACTCATCTATAGATTATTTGTAATTTAATCTTCAAAGTTCGAATTTCACCATTTTTTCATTATTTTCGCCTTCGTTTTTCCAATTCTTCATCAAACATCAAATTTTACCTACAAAAGGTAATATAACATAAGTTAGAAAGTATTTTACCCAAAGAATAGTAAAATATCATCTCTAATAAGTGTAGAAACAACACTTATCACATGTAATACAAGGATTTGACAGTTTTCTTTTCACAATCCACTCAATCACCACAAGTTACGAATTATAGATTTTTGAAGCAGAAAAATAACTTGCTTGTCCAATCATCTATCTTCAGTTCCATCGTTACACATTTTTCAAAAGAACCAAACTATTAATTATATCATCTTGTCTTCACACTTGAACACATCATGAACTAATGGTCAACCCAATAAAATTTTCCAACACTATCGAAAAACAAAACCCATAAAGAAAGATTAAACAAGTTGATGAATTTATTTACATGTGGTATCACGGAGGCACAAGACTCACCGCTCTACAAAAAGAAAGAAAAAAAAATAAGTTTATGTTTATGGTGGGACAATGGTTTATTTTATTAAAAAGTATATTAATCCCTAATTATGTAATTTTATTTAAAGCTATTTAAGTAAATAAGAAAAATACTAAAAATTGTAGTGCACTTAATAAAATTTGTCGCGGTAGTATAATTACCTTTAGAATGGAGAAAAGCAGTTGAAAAAGAAAATGGTCCAAATTACCCCAATTCCTCATCTACCATTTACCAAAATGACCCTCTTAATTATTAACTTGGTGTAAATGGCTATAAATTGAATTGAAAGGCAATATGAGAAGTTAGAAATTACTACTATCGTCGCCCGTTGCAGAGTCAACACTCTCTTTCTCAAAATTGACACAAACCGATAGTGAATGACAAGGGGTCCTAAGGTTGCAGCAAATTTTTTTGGACAAATCTCATTAAAATGGGGATCAAATAGATGCTCTATTTCATTTAATTGTTGCATACACTCATGATAAATAATATTATTCCTTATCAAATGGTGTACGGTTGATGTGAATTCATAAAGTAGCAATTCGAATGGTGATTTTAAGATTTGGCTACTCCTTTTCTTAAAGGGGGATATGACATGGATAACCCTCGTTTGAACCCCATTTTAAGATAAATAATACATTTTTAAATAGTGATTGACGAAGAATGTATGGTTAAAAATTAAGAAAAAAATTTTAAATTTGCGTGTAATATTATTTTATTGAATAATGTGTGATTGAAAGTGCGTTTTGAAAAAAATGAATTTTTGGAAGAATGGACTCAAACAAAGGCATAATTTTCAATGAACTAGTGCAACATTTTGGTTGTGTTTAAAATTTTTTGTCAGTATTGGTTTGTTCATGTTTGGTTGAAGGCCCCATTTTTTTTTATTTTTTTTTTTCAACTTATTAATAAATATGCCACAGGTGACCATGTGAGAATGAAACAGATATTTCGAATCCAATTGGTCCAACTTCGACCAAAAATAAAAGTTTGGGATCTGCGATAAGAAATTTTGAACCGAGGATAATTTAGCGACTGTGCAAATATCAATTATATACTCAGTGAATTGCAGGGGAAAAACCCTAGTGCGTGTCCATACGAATGAAGAGAGGGGAGAAGGATCCAACAATCCAGCTTCAGCTTTGTTCATTAATTTCTTGTTCTTTAATTTTTCTAGGAAAGAGAGTGTGATCGACTAAAAAAAGGAAGCAAAAATGAGGATTATGATAAAAGGTGGAGTATGGAAGAACACGGAGGACGAGATCCTGAAGGCGGCGGTGATGAAGTACGGGAAGAACCAGTGGGCTCGTATCTCGTCTCTCCTAGTTCGTAAATCAGCCAAGCAATGCAAGGCCCGTTGGTACGAGTGGCTTGACCCCTCTATCAAAAAGGCATGGACCTGATGATGATTTTCGATTTAAAAATTCGATTATCTGCACTGTTGACTTCTTTTTTCTGGATATATTTGTTGCTTCCCTGATTTAGTTAGGCGGAACTTTTGGGTATTTTGAAACACTTCGGGTTAATATCAGCTGTTTGTTTTGATCTTAATCTATTGTTGGGTTATCCTCGATTTCTTCGAAGTTAAGCATTTTTTAGTTAAATTGTAGTAGCATCAGTTCATTTCTTGTTCCGGTTATATCTGCTATACCTGTTTGTGGTTAGAGGAATATGACAATCATTAATCAACTGAAGTAATTACTACTAGCTTCAAGCTCTTACTATGAGTCAATTAACTGAAGTATATCTGTTTTATATGTTTTACAGTAATATATTCAAGAGGGGATGCTGGATGCATCTTAGTTTTTTCATCCCTGTATTAGCAAAAATGTTAGGAGGATTAATATTTTTCTGTTATTTTTCACATTTTGTTTTTTCCTTGCTTTCCTTTTCCACGATTTAGATCTCATGGAATTAATTTTATTTTGTTTTTATACCTGTCTGATTTGTGATTATTATATCCCATGCTGACTGAGAGGACAAGTGAAGAAGATGAGAAGATGAAAAACTTCTCATCAGTTCCCTTTGCACGATTTGTTTCCTCACTTTCCCTTTCAACGATTTAGATTTTATTTTGTTTTTAGACCTGTCTGATATGTGATTTTTGTATCCCGTGCAGACTGAGTGGACCAGGGAAGAAGATGAGAAACTTCTGCATCTTGCCAAACTCATGCCCACACAATGGAGAACAATTGCCCCAATTGTTGGCCGGACTCCATCTCAGTGCCTTGAACGGTATGAGAAGCTCCTTGATGCAGCATGTGCCAAGGATGAGAATTATGAACCTGGCGATGACCCACGTAAATTACGTCCTGGAGAGATAGATCCCAATCCAGAATCCAAACCTGCTCGTCCTGATCCTGTGGATATGGATGAAGATGAGAAAGAGATGCTTTCTGAAGCACGGGCACGGTTAGCCAATACCAGGGGCAAGAAGGCAAAAAGGAAAGCTAGGGAAAAGCAACTCGAAGAGGCAAGGAGGCTAGCCTCATTACAGAAAAGAAGAGAACTGAAGGCTGCTGGTATTGACACTCGGCACAGGAAGAGGAAGAGAAGGGGAATTGACTATAATGCTGAAATCCCATTTGAAAAGAAGCCTCCCCCGGGTTTTTATGATGTCGCCGATGAAGATCAGCCGGTTGAACTGATTAAATTTCCAACCACTATTGAAGAACTGGAAGGTGAAAGAAGAGTTGATAAGGAAGCACGATTAAGAAAGCAGGATGCTGCAAGAAATAAAATAGCAGAAAGGCAGGATGCTCCATCAGCGATACTGCAAGCGAACAAGCTTAATGATCCAGAAACAGTCAGGAAGAGGTCTAAACTTAATCTTCCTGCACCACAGATTCCAGATCATGAATTGGAGGCAATTGCGAAGATAGGCATTGCTAGTGATCTTGTGGGGAGTGAAGAACTCACTGAAGGGAATGCAGCGACGCATGCTCTTCTTGCAAGCTATGCTCAAACACCTCGGCAGGGGATGACTCCATTAAGAACGCCTCAGAGAACTCCTGTAGGTAAGCAAGATGCTGTTTTGATGGAAGCTGAAAATCAGCGGAGATTGACTCTATCTCAGACTCCTCTACTTGGGGGAGAGAATCCTATGTTGCACCCTTCAGACTTTTCCGGAGTAACTCCTAAGAAAATGGATGTTGCAACACCAAATCCTTTATTGACACCTTCGGCAACTCCTGGAAGCATTACCCCTAGGGTTGACATTACACCTTCTAGAGTCGGGTTTTTTGGAATGACACCAAAAGGAACTCCTATAAGGGACGAGCTTCATATTAATGAAGACATGGATATACATGACAATGGCAAGTTAAGACAATCTGATTCCAGAAAAGACCTGCTTTCTGGTTTGAAAAATCTTCCACAACCCAAGAATGAGTATCAGATCGTCATTCAACCCGTTCCTGAAGACAATGAAGAGCCAGAAGAGAAGATTGAAGAAGATATGTCTGACAGGATTGCTAGAGAGAAGGCTGTGGAGGAAGCACGGCAGCAAGCGCTACTTAAAAAAAGATCAAAAGTACTGCAGAGGGAGCTCCCTAGACCTCCACCTGCTTCAGTGGACCTAATCAGAAATTCTTTGATGAGAGCTGATGAAGACAAGAGTTCCTTTGTTCCACCAACATTGATTGAGCACGCTGATGAAATGATAAGAAAGGAACTTCTTCATTTGCTAGAGCACGATAATGTAAAATATCCACTCGAAGAGAAAGCTGATAAGGAGAAGAAAAAAGGCATGAAACGAGGGAAATCTGTATCTGTGCCCGCTATCGAAGAGTTTGAAGAAATTGATCTAAATGAGGTATGCGTAGTTCTCCCATCTTTACACGCAATGTCAAATTCACGTCAATTTATGATGAAATTTTTCATTCCTTGACTCCTTTGTGCTGGTTTTGATTTTGAGCTCTGAATTGTTGCATATACCTTACTTCATATTTAAGGTGCAGTGGAGTTAAGTCTCATTTTTATTTTTTCCAGAACCATAAATGTAGTCATAATTTCAAGTGAAATACTGAAATTAGTGTGAAATTGCTTTTGGTAAATGATAGTTTTTACCCTAAGAAAATTACCCTTCTGATAATGCTAGGTTTTAATATTGATTGTGAATTCTCAGTATTAACAATATTTTTCCTTCTCGTCTTGCTGAAATCGAAAAATGATAAGAGGCATTAGGTGCACACAAAGCCCTTGGGCTTCATTTTAACGAGGTTTTGGAAATAAATGTATTTTGAAATAGTAATTTTTTGAAGAATGTGTGGTTTAAAAAAAGTGTTTTGGGTTCATGTGTAATATTATTTTATTGAAGAATTTGTGGTTGAAGCGAAGAAAGAGAAAATGTATTAAAATTTAAATTTAAAATTTAAATGGAGCACAAACAAGGGCTAAAATGTGACAGTGTTGTCTAATTGTAAAGGACAATATAACCAATTTGGTGAGTTACAGTGAGTGAAAAGGCGCAAATACGATTTATTTAAAAAAAAAAATTAAATAAATAGATCTAGATAAATAACATTTATGATCATATAAGGTGGTTATGTGCATAAACATATAGATTATAATCACATCATATGTGGCTGTTTGATTGGGTTGTATGTGGTGGTTAAGTGCATCAAATGCGGTTTTCTTAAACTTTTGTAGACTTTGTCTTGTTTGTTTGTTTGGAAATGGTAGGGTTTTGTGCCCAATAACCATATAATTTAACCATGGTTATGGACCTTATTTGGTTATGGACCTTATTTTACTTCTATATAACAGTAGGTGATACATTTGTGACATTTACAACTTCTTCATGAAGGTAATCCTATTTCATTCATATGCATTTTGATATTAGCTTCTCCTTTGAATTTTTTTTATACTTGAAATCACAAATGCTTAATATGAATTAATTTATCTGTAGCATTACTCGTTTTTCTCTTTCAAGTTCTTCTCAAAAAGGACAAAAGTTTAGAGATGGAAGGGGAAAATTCAAAGATTGATAAGAAATTGTGAGGTTGCAGTGATCTTGCTATTATTAAGATTTTTGCTGTATAGGTTCCATGTCTTGAGTTTCAATGGTTGTGCTTGGTGAATCAGGCAAATAGACATTATTTCTTATCTTTAATCCTAATCCATAACATATAGTTATTCATTAAACTTGCGTGCTTGTCTTGTTCTTACTTCATTCTCTATGGAATATTGTTGAATTTTAAGAATCAAAGACCAACTTTGCTTGTCTGGGTGGAATTGTGTAGTAACTTCTACTTTCAAGATCAAGAGTTCGAGTTGGTATGAACCCACGTTCAAAAAAAAATTTTAAGAATCAAAGAAAATATTCGTTGAAGTGTAGCTTTTATACTTAGTATTTTCAATAAGTTAATGAAGTTCCCAAATAAAAGGGAAAAATCTATAATTAAATAGACCATATAGCCAGCAAAACTGTAGCGCCTGAACAGAAGTAAATACGTAATTTACTGCCACTATGAACCAACTTTTTTTCCCGACTTGAGAAAATTTCTGCACCTCAAAGAGGAAGCTTATGGAAGAGGTTCAGTCTTACCATCTCAGTTCTTGTTAATGTCATCTTTCCTTTTGCTCTGTGACTCGTACTTTTTGGTGGAACCATGCTATAAAAGCCACTCTATTTGAAGGTGATATATGTTGATATCAGTTTAGGTGTAAAAGAGGTGTAAAAGAACTCTACAAAAATTAAAGTATCAAGATCCTTAAAAAACAGAGGTCTTGAATTCTCAAGCATTGAAGACCTTCAGAAGCACTAGTTGATGCCTGAAGAAAAAAGAAGTAAAATAGTCATTAGTATTTAAACTATCCAACCGGGTGCTTGTTTATGTTTATCACAAAGTTTGCCAATTGCTACCAAGTCATAGGTTATGTGAGATTCCTTGTACAGTTTCATACCATTTTCGTCCAATTCAAATTTAATTTGAACAATTCTTATTGTGATCATGCAATTTTGACGATTGTGCCTCCACGTCAAATATGTGCTTTCTAAGTTGAATGAGTGGTATTATGCCTACTGCTATTCATGTTTGGTTGAATCCTTGATTGTTTGGGTGATTTGAATTGATAACACCAATGAGTTCAGCTTCAGCCTTATTGTTCTGGGGGTTTTCTTCTGTGAGTAGATAGGTGTATTCACCATAATTTTGATGGGCCAAACTTATTTTTTCTTAGACACACATGATCGACTGTTTTTTTCTCCACCGTGTTCATGGCTGTCCAATTAGCAGATGGTAATTTGTGTTAGTTCTTTAGGGTTACAAGTAATAAGCAATTGTTTTTGCTTAATTGTGTCTGTGGGAAATTTCAGTTTCATGAATGTTTCTCCTTATTTTCACCTTGATTATTACCAAATGGACAATATCCTGTCAAAATAAACTAATAAGTTTGTATCATGCAGGCTGATAATTTAGTGAAGGATGAGGCACAATTTCTTCGTGTGGCAATGGGTCACGAGAATGAATCTCTTGATGAATTTGTTGAGGCTCACAGAACATGCTTAAATGATATAATGTATTTCCCTACTCGTAATGGCTATGGTCTATCTAGTGTTGCCAGCAATGTAGAAAAGCTTGCTGCCCTGCAGAACGAATTTGAAAATGTAAAGAAGAGAATGGACGATGATACTAAAAAGGCACAACGTCTTGAGCAGAAGATAAAAGTTCTTACTAACGGCTATCAGGTTTTCTATTCTCAACTTAGCTAATTATTATGATGTTTATATCACTTTCACTCTTCAATGTAACAGTTTTAGTTTGTTGAATATTCTTATGATATGGTTGAACTTTGATAAAATAAATTTGTTGGTTTTGATTCTTGTCAAATTTTAAGTCGTTAAAATTTTTGTCCCACTTATGAACATCTTGAGAAACAACGCTCCAAGCACATCTTCATAAAGATTCATGAAAGGACTTTTTGAGTTTTATTTGAATCATAAGGAATTTACTTGAGCTACGTAATTGATTGCAATGTGGGAAAAGTTCAAGTTAAATGCCAGTTATAAATAGTGCGTAAAAAGAGTTGGAATGATTATGTAAAGTATAACTGTATCTTGTTTATGTTGTACAATTAAAAGGCTGACGAATTTATACTCTTGTTTGTTATGAGGATTGGTCTTTCTTCATCTGGATATTTTGCGTGGTCCTCTTTATTGCCCTTTGAGATTTTAGTATTATTATAAGGATCATGATAGCATCCATGTTTAGGTCTCTAAACTTGGAAAATATATTTTTTTAACTTAAAAGTAACTTAAAATATTTAAGCACGGCAATAATGATAGGAAGTTCCTCTGGCTAGTGCTATACAGTATTTCGATGAGTAAATTATTTTGTACTTCAGGGCTTCGGGTTTTTATGAGTTTTGTGCTTGGATGCCAACTGATTGGGTACTGTATTATCAGATACGAGCTGGAAAACTTTGGTCACAAATTGAGGCAACCTACAAGGTGATGGACACTGCAGGGACAGAACTTGAGTGCTTCCAAGTTTTGCAAAAGCAAGAGCAATTAGCAGCGACACAAAGGATTGGTAACCTCTGGGATGAAGTTCAGAAACAGAAGAATGTCGAACAAATTTTACAGAAACGATATGGCGAGTTATTAGATAAGCAAGAAAGGGTTCAGCGTCTAATGGATGCATACAGAGTACAAACAAAAGTACAGGAAGAAATAGCTGCAAAGAACAGTGCTCTTGAGCTAGCTGCAACTGAGGTTGCTGTAAGTCAAACTGTTGCACCAGATCTAGGAACTTCCAATCTTGAAGCCACCACCAAGGAGGAAAACCCCATACTGGATGGTACAACTGATGAAACAAGAAGCCAATGGATGGATGCTGCACAAGAACAGGCCGAGCTGAGTCCAAAACACACAATGGATATTGATGCAGTGGATGAGAATACAACTTCAGCCACAGTTGACCTAATCATGCCAGATCCTGTTGAAGAAACTTCTCTAGCCAGTGATACACACGGGGAACCCATAACAAATGGTGAGGGCTTCGATTCTGCTGGTAGTGTTCAGTTCTCCGTTAGTGATGAAAATCCAGCAACTGTGAAGTCCACCGAGACTTCTCTCGATGAAAGAGAAAGCCTGCCTGATGTATTTGATGAAAATCCAGCAACTGCGAAGTCAACTGAAACTTCTCTCGACAAAAGCGAAAGCCTCCCTGATGTAGTCGATATACCGGAGACATTGAGTGATGGCGCCATCAAAGGGTCTGCTAATGATTACTTAACTGGATGCGAATTTATAGCAAAGGATACCGCAACAGATGCGGCAGAAGAAAATGTGACTGGCGATGTTGTAATTGATCAAGCACACGAGGTTCATGAAAGAGCTTAAGATGGTTCAACCAACAGTGATGCTTAGTCTACCAAAGTTCAGTGGAGACACTGAAAATAGAATGAAAAACTGCTGCCCTTTGGTTTGCATTTCGGGTAACAGGTAACTATGGGGAGAGTTGATTGGTTTTAAAGGCACGTATTTAGTGCTCTCTTGCTGGGACTTCTTGACTCAATTGCCCAATGACTGCCCCAATTTTGGTGGTTGATGTTTGTGTAAGACATAAGCTCCCCTTGTATGGGATAAAACTATCTTGGAGTTATTTTCCTTTGAAATTATGAAGTGGATATGTGAGGAGACTAGCATTGTCAATGTACCGATTATGTTTTTGTTTAAAATAAAAAAAAAAAATGACAATGAACTGGAATTATGTGTTTTTCATGCTTGATTTGAAGTTCCATTTTCATAATTGGTTTCAGAAGAAAAAGATTTTAAAAAACAATTGAAAAATGGTACACTGTGGTGGTTTATTTTTATTTTTATTTCTTTTACTCAAGTGTCAAACTTTCGCTTGACTAATATTGAGGAGTGGCGGCCTTCCCTCTAGTTCGTCACTCGGGTAAATTTGGATGCGGTCACAGTTTACACACACTTGGGCCGGGCATTCGGGATATGGTTCTCTTCTTTGTGGACCTCCCTTTATGACATGCAGACACGACCTCCGAAGGTGCCATTATGGTGGTTTTTGTGAGCATTTGTGTGGGTTGGG